CTCATCTCTTTCTCTCTCTTTCTCTCTTCTTCTCTCTTCCTCTCTTTCTCTCTCTTTCTCTCTCTCTCTCTCCTCTTGCTCTCTCTCTCTCTCTCTCCTATCTCTTTCTCGTCTTCTCTTTCTTCTTCTCTCTCTCTCTTTCTCTCTCTCTCGCTCTCTCTCTCCCTCCCTAAGAGCTTGATATTCATATTGTGATAACCAATCAAGGAGAACATTCGGAAAGCGTATAACAGTTTTTTTTTCCATATAAATATCGATGAGTGAAGTGTCTTTACCAGCTCTGAGACTTTCTGGCCCTCGGCCGATGACGTCACAGTCTTGCTGCTTGGTGATTTAGTCTCGGCCACCTGATCTGACGTGCCTGGTGTGAGTAACATAACATTATACGAGCACCTTCCCACAACGCGTGCGTGCTAGACGGTCATGCAATGCACATCCTGTGTTTGCGGTCAACGCTATGTAACGGACACCTGTCTATGAAGAATACTTTGATGTGGCAGTTGTTATCAGTAAATCCACCTCTATAGAACGGACGCCTTTCTATAAAAGATACTTCACGCATTTCGCTTGAGTGACGCCTGACCACACAGCACAAAAAACACCATGCACTATATATAGCTTCATGATTTACAAGCAAGGTCTCTTCTCTCATATATAGCTATAATATATATATATATATATATATATATCACCGCATACATAATAGATACCATAACACATCTCTATTATGTAATCTTCGAATAATATATATATTATATATATATATATATATTATATATATTTAGAGAGAGAAAGAGAGAGAGAGAAAGAGAAAGAGTGAGAGCGAGACAGAGAGAGATATGTATATTAAAGGATGTTTGTGTTGTAGAACTGTGACACCACGCAGTGTGTCACAATTAGCTGTGAGATCAATGATGAGTTGAAAGATCGTGAGGATGTGACAGTTACCGTGACAGCCCGGATCAATGAACTAGCTCTCTACGATTTGAAGGTAACAACAACTCCTTCTCCGCATCTACCTCCCTCTCTTTCTCCTCCTCCTCTTCCTCCTCCTCCTGCTCCTCTTCCTTCTCCTCCTCCTCCTCATCCTGTTTCTTGTGCTCATCTTCTCCTGATTATCATCATATTCCAGATTTTCATTCGCCTCCTACACTTCCTTCTATTCCTTTATCGCCTTTCCCTCCCCCGCTTCCCCTTCTCTTCCTCCTTCTCCTCCTCCTCCTCCTCCTCCTCCTTCTCCTACTTCTCCTCCTCCCCGTCCTTCTTCTTCTCCCCATCTCCTTCCTCTTTCCCCCCTCCTTCTCCTCATTTTCCTCTCCCATCTCCTCGTAACAGAACGGTAGTATTCACCATAATGGCAATAACATTGATGGGTAGCAGACAATCATTAGTCGCGCAGGCGTTAATGCTATTCGCACCGTGACTCTCCCGTGTTTCTCCTACAGATTGATGAGACAGAAGCTGTGTTGGTGAGCAGCGCGGAGGTGCAGCTACCTGCGACCATCATGCAGCCCGACGACGGCAGGCCTGACTCCGCTACGGTGCGTACAGATGCACTGCACCGACCCTACGGCCTTACCATCGGCACTCTGAACCTTCTTGATTAATCTGAGATATTCTTCTCCTGGTTGTTAAAACGTGTGGAATTTGTAGCAACGTGTAGCGGAGTCGGGTTGATTAATGAAAGTCTATGGTTATTGTAGCCATATATTGATGCTCACATATACCCGTGATAATAAATACATAATCAATCCATCTTTGCTTGATTTAAATGATCATGATGTGTGTGTGTGTGTGTGTGTGTGTGTGTGTGTGTGTGTGTGTGTGTGTGTGTGGTGTGTGTGTGTCTGTGTGTGTGTGTGCGTGCGTGCGTGGGTGCGTGCGTGTAAGAGAGAGAGAGAGAGAGATAGAGAGATATATATATATATATATATAGAGAGAGAGATAGAGAGAGAGAGAGAGAGAGAGAAGAGAGGTTGCTGTCGCATTGCGTGGCTTGCACTGGTGGTGACAGTGATAGCGTAGTGCGTCTTGCTGCGTGTAGGTGAGCACGTCACTCGTACCGGAGACGGCCCCCGAGCAGAGCGCCACGATCCCGATATGGATCATCATCATTGCCGTCGTCGCCGGAATCCTCCTGCTCATCATCGTCATCGTCGTCCTCGTCAAGGTGGGTGGTTCCGTGCCTGCCGTCGGCGGGGCGTTGCTGACGTCACAACGGTCGGGTCGTTTAGAACTACACTTACACTGAAATCACTTGATGAAATCACTCACAACCATTTGATTCAAAGAGACAGAAATGGAATTTCGCAGACAGCTTTGAGCACGCGTGAAAACCTATTGATTATTTAATGGTCTCTGTTATAATCGGACAAAACATTGCTAATTCAATGTTTTGACAGCTAACGGTTGAAACGCCCCCGCCAGGCCCTACCAGTATTCCGTGGGCAGTCTTCTGATACTGAGAATCCCCGAGAGCAGATATAAATGCCAGATCCCGTTGCTTTAAACCTATTATGGCGATGTTATCGGATATACTGCTAGGGTACGCATGCAGATACTCGCCGATACGATCATGGGGGATTCTGTGGACCAACATATTCCCATCAGCCACCGCAACTGAGCTAAATGCTGAAAGTATAGCGAGTAACTTTAACGACATTGCTTTCGTTACAGTGTGGCTTCTTCAATCGTAAAGAGAAGGACGAACTGGAGAAACTAAAGCGACTGAGTGACTTTGAGCCAGAGCTGATGGGCTAGTCTGTGGGCGGCAACGTGTCTACACGCGGGAATCTCATCATCGATGGAACGTCGGCGACAGTCTAGTCTGTGGGCGGCAACGTGTCTACACGCGGGAATCTCATCA